TCCTCTCCTGCACATGCGGCGAAGCCGATCACCAAGGCGGCTAAGCCGAGGAAGCAAAGGACACGTGTGAGTGAGCCATCACGTGAAGTGATTCGACCCACCAAGGAGGCCTCACACGCAAATGTAGCTGGTGTCTCAGCCATAGAGGAGGCACCACATGAACAAGGCGCACTGGCGCATGTCAATGATGGCACAAGTAGCCCAATCGACCTCTCACACACTGACGTGCATGAAGGCAGCAGCCCTCATCGAGGGATCGCGCCCTGGGCCGCCCTCTCGTCCCTGGCTGCTGCTCATCAGCGCGCACAGACGAGATCCTGGCGGTGTCCAGCAGCTGCACGGACAATTTCTTCGCCAGACCATCGGCTAGGTCATCAGTGGTGATGGTGGCGCCCTTGCGGGCAGCCTTGGGGTCCTCCTCCTCAGGCACCACATTGAGTGAGTACTCCAAATCCGCCAAGCACTTCTTGGCAGCAGCGAGAGTGTATAACCTCTCCATGGCGACATTCTCGGGCTCCAGGCCTATATCATCTCAGCCGTGGTCTGCGCCTGCCGGTAGCGCTGGAGTAGAGTCTGAGTGACAAAATGCTTGGCCTCCTCAGGGAGGAGGTTCAGCAACTTGTCCACCTTCTCTGTCTCACCCAACTCGCCGCCATGCATCTGAGCGACCTCGAGGTCATCATCAAATGCCGCCAGCTTCTCGCGCAGGTCAGCCCTGTCTCTCATATAGGAGGGACAGCCGAGCCGCTCGGTGCGAACGTGGCGCGCGTATGTCTCGTTGACTCCGCTGCGGCCACGGACATCCTTGAGGATGTTGCTGACAGCACTCTCGTACCAGGCCTCAGCCTCATCCACAGGGTCACCCCCCTGAGGAATATTCTCAGCACTCCTCACATACTGGTCGTATGCAACCACGTGCTTGCCCTTAAGGCACTCACCCAGAACCATGAACTTGTCTTGGTTCGTGATGCCGGGGATGGCTGTGGAGCGATCGATAAATCGCAGCAGCCACTTGGTCACCGAAAGGCGCGTGGCTTCATCATCCAGAGAGCCAAGCTGCGCTTTCAGGCGATCCCGACCCTCACGGGCAACGCGCTGCAGCTCATTCTGGCGCGCGCGATAGTCCCGTTCCTCCTCGCGTCTCTCTCTGCGGCGCTCGCGCTGTTCGCGCAGCTGCTCGCGGACTCGCCAGTCATCCCCACCGCGCTCCTGAGGAGCAGCGTCGTGGGGGCCGACATCATCGACTCTATCGCCATACCCGTACATGGTAGAGGTCTGCGATGCAGCGTCCTCAGCCACAACTGGAGTAGCCACACCGAGCTCAGCCCGATGGGCCAGTGTCCGCCAGAAACGAACAGAGACAGGGGCAGGAGAAGGGCCAAGAGATGGTGGCCTCCCCTCCTTCACCGAAGGCGGGCGTGGCGTTCGCTGTGCAGCGTCTCCTTCGCCAAGCTCTTCAGTGATGGGCGAGATGTGCGGTGGGGGCTCAGAGGACGAGCGAGAGACAGCCGGTGTGTGGATGTCAAAGTGCTCGAAGCTCCCAACCAGATGTGCAACTCGTGGACCGACGAACGCGTCCCGATGGGCGGAAGCGTCCTTGGGGGTCACGAGGCTGAGAACGTGCTCGCTGTCGAAGCCGAGCACGAGAGCTCCTTCGCATTCACCCACAGCCACTCACCTGCAACACAAGAGGCAACACAGACAACACAAAAGACGACAAAGGATTGTGTTCACGGCAGATGCACCAAATCTGTGAGGAGGGGGCGTCTGGGGGCCTGTGATCCCGTCAAGCCGGCCAGCGCGTCCTCGCAGAGGGAGTCAGACAGACTCAAAACCTCAAGCCTCTGGATGGGGGACCCGCGTATGTGCGCCAAAGGGGCAGGCAGCAACAATACAGCCATCTGTGTCTAGTGGTGTCGTGGGATCATCCGTCAATGACTCTATGGTTAAGTAGATGCATGAAACGGGCGACGAAGTTCGTCTAAGCATCAGTTCGTGTCAAGCAAATGAAGCGAAAGAATACATGCAGAAACAATGGACAGCGCTCGTTGACTGCGAAAACATGTCGCACACTGCAAACAAGCGCGAGACATGCAACATGACACGCACACTCAGAACCCAGGTCCAGCCAGCCACCTTACAGCCCCGCAGCGGGGCTGGTGTGTGGCCTGAGGGGAGAGGGACGACCTCCTTGCGGTGCTGGGTCTAGGTGTGACGGACTACGCTAACGATACGGGGATGGGCAATGTTGTGCCCCGAAGGGCGTTCGACCAGCAGAAGGTGTCATTGCCTAGCGCTGCGGGCTGCGTGGAGTTATTGGGTGTCTTGCCCGCCTCTCTGCGTGAGCGCTATGCTGCCCCCTCCCCCTTTCTGCTGCAGCCTGAGTTTATCGCAAGGATCGGCAGTGAGGTGCGGCCCCAGTTTGTTGGTGTGCCGCGCAGACAGTACCTGGCGCTTGTGTCCCGGATGGTCAAGAACGGCATGGTGGATCTGCGGCCGGAGGTGCGAGCTGTCAATGGGGTGTTCGGTGTCTGGAAGGAGTTGGGCTCGTCCATCCGTTTGATCGTCGACCTGCGGCGAGGCAACGCCGCCTTCCTTCCCTCCCCTCACGTGAGCCTCCCCAACGCGGCCGACTTCTGCAACCTCACACTAGCGGACGGGGAGGTCCTGGTGATGGGCAAGATGGACCTGTCAAACTATTATCACCAGATCCGGATACCCCTGTGGATGTCTGACTACTTCGGCCTGCCGGCGGTGGATGTGCAGTCGCTCGACCTGTCTGAGGCTGATCGGGCCGCTCTGCAGCTACCCGCCAGCGGCCGGCTCTTCCCCGCCTGCCGCACCCTCCCAATGGGTTTCTCGCATGCCGTGTATCTGGCGCAGGCAGTACATGAGCACATACTGGAGAAGCACGGCGTCTCCTCTATCCACACCCGACTCGCACCGTCGACTGTGGCGCCGCACGCTGACCATGCACGAGAGTCTCTGGTGGGCGATCGGACAGCGTGTCGAGGAGCCTGCGTTGCGGCGGCGGGTCGACCAGCGGATGGGGGGGGCGAGAGTGGCCTACGATGGAGAGGGCTTTCCGGTGAAGGAGGAGAAGGTCGAGCCGGCATCCACGATGACGACAGCGCTGGGATTGGTGGTCGATGGTGACAGAGGAGTCGTGGCAGCCAATGTGGGCAAGGTGAAGCGCCTCGTTGGAGCGACAAGGGCTGTGCTGCGGCGGGGACGGGCATCTGGGCGGATGCTGCAGCAGCTGCTGGGCCACTGGACGTGGTTTATGATGGCAAGACGCCCGGCGTTGGCCATCTTCGCCCGCTGCTACGAGTTCTGCCGAAAGCTCGACCGCAAGTGGTCATACTTGTGGCCACGGGTGTGTGGGGAGCTGGTGACGGCCTGTCGATTGGCGCCCCTCCTGCTGACCAACATTCGAGCGCCGCTCGCGGCGACGATCATGGCATGTGGTGCGTCCGAGGGGGGCTTTGGCGTGGCGTATGCGGTGGCCCCCCTGCCCGCCGCCCAAGCTGCTGTTGACAAGACTCTCGCCGCTCCCTCTCCCTCACCCATCGACCCATCTGGTGCGTCAGCCGTCGACCACGGACCTGCTGAGCCGCGTGCCCGTCGCCATGATGATGAGGTGCCACTTGAACGGCCACTCTGGCGCACCCTGCGCTGGAAGGTGGCTGCACGGGGCCGCTGGAGATACGACGACCACATCACCCATCTGGAGGTCCGGGCGGCGGCTATCTGCACCAGGTGGTGGGCGAGAGCAAGGTCCCGCTTCCACCACCGCGTCCTCATCGCAATTGACAACCAGGCGGTGGAGCGGGCGGTCGGCAAGGGCCGCTCGTCACCGCCAAAGATGCTGTTGCAGATGAGGCGCATTGGTGCGGTGGCGCTGGCGACCGACACATACTGGATCTCAACCTGGGTGCCTTCTGAGGATAACCCGGCGGATGAGCCCTCGCGGATGCGCTCAATCTGGGCCACGAACCCATTGCCGGGCTGAGCGGGCGCGACGGATGCATGGGGGGGAGGGATGTGAGATGGGTGGGTGCGTGGGTGCGGGGATGGATGGGCGTACCTCCTCGTCTTCGCCCGTGTGCTCGGCATCTCTCTTCTTCTCGGCGGCCGGCTGGTGGGTCTTCGGGTCTGTTGGTCTGTTCGTCTTGCTCTTTGGTGGCTCTCTCTTCTTCTCGGCGGCGGTCACCGACACGCCTCTGTGGGCGGTACTCTATGTCCACTCTTGCCCTCGCTTGGCGAGGGAGCTCTCCATGGAATGGATGGGATGCATGCTTACATGCACGTGGGTGGATTCATGGTGACTCATCGTGTCCTGCGTGTGCGTGGCAGTAGTAGCGGCAGACATATTTGTTACGGTTCAATGGTTGCTTTTGGTATGTGCGCACATGCTGACTGTCCGTCACTCACCAGCCGTTGACACACGTGCAGAGCGTAACGGACGATCGGGTGCGAATTTCATGCCACCCTGTAGCATTCCCTTCCTTCATGTGCCGGCTCCGAACAGCACCATTGTCGACTGCAGGGTGTGAAAGGCGCATGAATATGACACATGATCCATCTCTCGGTCAGAAGGAACAAACCCACAGACAGTGACAAAAACTCCTTCCTCCGCTTCGCCATCCGAATGGCCCAACCCACCACTGACCATTCGTTTGTGTATTGACGTCACATGGATGCAGGACCGGCTGCTGTGCAGCGCGTCTTCCTCTCAGGCGTGGGAGTCCTGGCACCCTGACGAAGCTGTCATTCGTGTGTGTCATCACTCGCGTCACAGCTACATGACGTTCGCAGCACCTCGTGAGTGTGCTAGCGGGCCCGGGATTTGTTGTTTTCTGTAGCTCCTCTCCCGGCTGTTTGTTAACACTGTAGTTCATTCATTCATTCATTCGGCGTCCTCATGAACACACAGGGCATTCATTCGGACGAGACTAGCAGCACTGCAAGACACCTTGCAGCGACCAGGGCGGCGAGTCCGGCTCACCAAGGTTTCCCTTGGCTACTCCTGGATTTCACATGCCCCGTATTTTACAAGCGAGGGGGAAAAAAGTCGCCGGCGCCCTACTTGATACCCGCCGGGCTGCGAGCGGTGTGGTGTGTCAGGTTGGTGTCTATGGGGGTGCGTGCACGCGTCTCTCTGTGCTCTGTGTCCGTGTCGTGTCGTGTCATGTCGTTTCCCCCGTGGAGCCGCCCACAAGGTCCTGGCCCCCATCCGCCGTCTCGCGTGCAGCACGTATTCACTGGCTTGAAGACGTACTCGGAGTGGCCAGGGCATGCCTGAGCTTCACCATGCGTGTGCACATGTGACCCCGAGTGCCCGTCGTTTTGCCCGTCTCACCTCCTTACATTTTACCTCACCGTAGACGTTTTCCATCCGTCTCTGGGAAGGCACTGCTGTAGCCTCCACCGCCTGAACCTTCTTCTACCCCTGCGGCGTCTGCTGCCCACGGAAACAGCGGTCGCTGGTACAGCTGGTGTGCTCCCCATCGTGCTTCACTGCAAATCGCACCTCATCCGGACCGGGCTGATGGGGCGGAGGTGTCCTCGGCCTTTTTCAAGCTTGAAAAAACCTCGTAGAGGAGAAAATGTGGTCCCGTGCGGGATTAGCTCACTCAGCTTCCACATTCGCCTTCTGATGATATCCCCTCAGCTACGTAGCCTCACAGAAACCCATTGTGGTCACTCACTACCCCTCATCATGCAAAAACACGATGGCGACTCTGCTGTTCAGGCAAGGCGATGGCCTCCGACTTCTTGTCGTTGTGTTTCTATGACGTATAGTGAGTAAGTCCCCTAGATGTTCGGGTGGCTGGCTCCCCCTTGCCTCGGCTCCTCTTCTCCTCTGCTCCTCCTTGTGATGCGCGTCCTCATCACCGGTGATGGTCGTGGGCGTCCCGCCTTCACCTTCCAGCATCATCGCATCGCCACCAGAACAACCACACACATGGTGAGCACCACCAATCACATTCACTATCAGGAGATCTGTACGCTCAAATTGCCCTCTGTCTGTACGTGTGCTGTTTCAGGGCTCTTCGGAGCTGGGATTCACAGTGCCAACAAGCCTGTCTAACGCAATGGCGTCAAGGACAGAGCGTCCAAGCGATACAGCACCAAGGGGAGGTGATCAACGGGATGGCTGGGCGACCGATATGCTACCGAGGCGAAGTAGCATCCCAGCAGCGGACGCGGCTCCAGCACCGAGACGAGTTGGTGTGAAATCGCGCGTCAGATCACCGACGACCCCCAAGGCGTGCCGCCCTTCTTCTCTTCCCGTCTTCCATCGTGCTGACTGACATGGCTGGTACACCGAATCTCCATCGTGGCCACAGTCGGACAGCCTCTATCCGACTGCACGTGTGGGTTGATGTGGCTGCCACTGTCATCTCCTGAGTGTGCTCACTCCCTCATGACACGTAAGCACATACACGCACATGCACGAACACGCACACATACACGAATACGAACACATACATGAACACGTATCCCTCTCCCGCAGAAAGATGCGTGTTTTGAAACGCGGCGCAGGGCGTCCATCGTCCATGTCCATGCCTTCTCGCTCACAAGCACGTCATGCCGCTTCGGACCCAACGTCTTTCCCAACTACGCACTCTGCCTGTCCAGCCTTTTCCCTTCCTTCTTCTGTGGTGACCTCGGCCAACCCACTACGTCACCACAGAAGGATTATCACCTTGTCTACTCGCACGGGGCACCACTGAGCCGACACACACTTCCATGTAGGTCCCGGCGTGGGACTGGTGTAGCACTAACCCCTAACCTTGCTAACGTCCCCAGGCCGTCGATTAGTGCGTCCCTGCCACTCCTGTGCATGCCTCCACCACGCTCATCACCTTCCCCGTGCGCAATTATGTGATCATGCAATTATGTAATCATGCAGTCATGTAGTCACGGACCCTCAGCAGCGACACAGGTACACACACACACATGCAACACACCCCCACATACATTCATGCACAGAGAGAAATGGATGCTGTGCCTGCTGCTGTTGGTTATGTCATCCCTCAGGCAACATTTCGAGCGTGCTGGGTGCTCGTCAGTCCACGCATTGTGGTTGGTTGCCATGCTGGTCGTTAGCTGGATCGTCTCGCTCTCTCTCCCATTGGTAATTCCGAAGGAAGCTAGCCAAAGGAATGTCCTGCTTCCGTCCCACGAGACTCTCCTTCCTTAGTCTCTTTGTGCGCGTCGGTTCCTTTCAGATACTGTAGCTGTATGCCTTCCTTCTCCAACCTCGTCACCTTGACGGTGTGCTCGCGATTGAGCTCCTTTACATGGCGGACTCTCACCACAGAATACGACGCGGGAAAGAGCGAAGCATGCTCGTCCAGGTCAGGCACGTCTTCACTGTTTTCGTATTCCTGTACGAGCTCGGTGCAAGTGAGGTTCTCTTCGTCTTCCCAGGTCGCGTGCGAAAGCGGATACCAGCGCCATTTGAGCTTGTACTGAACCTTGCCGTGGTGCGTCCTCTTCCCGATGACCTGTTCGACTTCGTGTCGCTCGCCACGCTCAAATCGCTGGTCTGGTTGGACGTGTCTGAGGCTCGGGTCATGTGCCATCGGATCAAATGTGGCCTCTGACGATCTCTGCGTTCGGGCTGTCCGCACTCGGTTTTCCTTGAGGGCAAAATCCTTCAAGGTTCGCTCTTGCTCAGGCGACAAGAATGCGTCCTGGTTGAAGACTGTCTGCCTTCTGTCCCTCTTCAGGTCGCCTTCCGTCACTTCGATCAACTTCCCGTCTCCTGGTGGTGGTGCTCTCTTCAGCCGATCGACATTGATGGTCCTCGCCTTTTGATCGCCACACACACGGACCTTGTAGGTGACTGGTCCTTTCTTCTCCTGAACGATGCCGACTGTCCGCCAAGGTGAGGCCAGCTTCCTGCTGAGACCCTTATGCACTTGGTCATTGTATATGCGCACTCTGTCTCCTTCCTTGAATTGCCTTGGTGCAGGCAAATCCTTCTCGCGCTCAGCAGCCTGCTTCTTCTTCTTGCTCATCGTCTCAGAAGCTATCTCATGAACCACTCGAAGACCCTCTTGTATCAGCTTGACGGCTTCCTCGATGTCGATTGGCTCTGCATTCCTCGCGACAAGCCTTGCCGTGCTGCTCGGATGCACCGCTTCTCGGCCGTACAGCATCTTGAATGGCGTGAATCCTGTCGACTCATGCTCCGTCGTACGATACGCGGACAAGACCAAGGAAATTGCATCGTCCCAGTTGCTTTGCTCCTTGTTGAGATATGGGCGCATCCAATCCTTCAAGGTACGGTTGTAGCGTTCGATCAGCCCATCGGCCTGCGGATGCATCGGTGATGTTGTTGTGTGCTTGATGCGCAGCCTGGCCATTACTTCGCGCATCACATCACTGACAAAGTGCGAGCCATTGTCCGTGACTATTTCATTGATGTGCCCGTGCCTCGAGATCACATCCATGAGCGCTCCGACTACGTCCTCGCCAGTCGGGCCGGTTCCAGGTGCCTTCGAAAACGTGAAGACCTCTGGCCACTTGGTAAAAGTATCCTGGACGGTGAGCGCAAACGACTTGCCACTCAGAGAGGTCGGCAGGGGACCGATGAAATCCATTGCCACTTTCTGGAATGGCCATTCGGCTGATGCTGTCTGGATGCTCGCTCTCTTGCTTGCCAGCAGGTTCCGTATGCCTTGGCACTTCTGACATGCCTCTGTATGCTTCCGAAGGTCCATGTACATACCAGGCCAATAGTATTGTTGCGCCATCCGTTTGTATGCCCTCTCGACTGCCAGGTGGCCGCCGCAGACGTGCTCATGATGCAGTACCAGCGCCTCTTTCCTCAGTGACGTGGGCACGAGCAGGACTGGACCATGCTCTTGGTGCTTCGACACGATCGATACAAGCCCATTATGTAAGCACACGCTGTCGAGCTTCGGCCAGTACGCCCTGGGAATGGCATTGCGCAACTGATCGAGCTCTTCGTTGGCTGCTTTGCTCTCTTGTGCCTTCAGGTATGCCTTGACGCACGAGACCTCGGCACATTGGTCTTGAGCTTTCTTGATCTTATTGAGATAGAACAGCGGACTGGCAGCCATGGATCTTAGCTCAATCGCATCGATGTTGGCGTCAACCAATTCCGACTCAACAGCGCCCAATTGATATGCCTCTTCGTCACTCGTCGTAGGCATGTGCTCGGCGTTTTCTTGCACGCCAGAAGGCCGTGACATTGCATCCACGTCTCCGTGTTCCAGGTCGATGGCAGAAGACAAAGTCATAATCTTGGAGCATCCCTGACCATCTGTTGAGCTTCCGGTTGCTTCCCTCTGCGTGTTTCAACGCTCTCAACGCCTGGTGGTCGGACACCAACTCAATCCTCGCCCGAAAAGGTACGGACGGAAGTAGCGCACGAAGAAAAAGATTGCATACGCCTCTCTCTCTGTGGCCGACCACTTGCGCTCAGACTCAGCGAAAATGTGGCTCACGTAATGGATCGGTCTTTCGTGCCCTTTGTCGTCTCGCTGGCAGAGAATTGCTCCAATCGCATAGTCACTCGCGTCTGTCTTGAGCACGAACGGCTTCGAAAAGTCAGGCGACACCAGCACAGGTGCCTCTGTCATCTCTCTTGAGTGTGTTCAGTGCGTTTCGTTGGGCGTTCCCCCACTCAAATGGCACATCTTTCTTAGTAAGGTCAGT